CTTCCGCCCTACGTCATCGGACCGTCCGTCATTATTGCTGACAATTTAGACGCTCATGTCACACAAGAATCAGCGGAAACAATTTCTGGTAACTGTATCTCGCTGTCATACTTCTGATTTTTGGTGCTTGTATCACAGCTGATTTTGCTTCTAGTGTCGCTGATGATCGTGGAATTATGATATTTTCGATGCTGATATCACAGCTAATTTTTTTGTTAATTTCGCTAACTAGGAGACCATCACAGCATTTTGGAACCATTGCCTGCGAATTCCACAAGTGTATGTCAGCCTTTGGATGTTGACGTGATGGGTTTATTCAAGAAGCTGCTTCGTACTCTTTGGATCGAGAAAACGCCGGTGACTACAGCTGCGGAGAAACGATTGGCTACGATCAAGCGCTCAATTGCGGCATGAGACAGAATTTCGCCGGAAGCCATCAAGAGTGCATTCAAGAAGGCACTTCCAAAACCAGGAAATGTCGTGGTGTAGGTCGATTGGGGACGCATGTGTGGTTAGGGTTGTTTCTGAGCAGGAAAACATAAATTTCACAAGTCTCAAATGTCAGACCCCGGCCTGTAACCATACTGATGTGCATTTAAGTTTATAGCGCTTCTGATAGGCGCACATACATTCTCCTGATTATAGCTAATCAACTTGAACTAAACCGCGTAATTTAATATATTCGATTTTATTCCGCTTCCATGCATTTCAGGATGAAACCATGTCGGCTTTTTTCTGGGGTTCACAGTAGCATTGGCTCCGTGTCAAGGACTTCGGCGATGTTAATTCTTGTGGGTTTCGCCCACAGGCCCACGCCCTTTGGGGCACCCCGATCGTGAGGCCAGGACGACAAAGCCTGTAGCACCGGTTGTAGTCAACCCAAAAGATCGCGAAGGAGACCTAGGGTAGAGTAAGGAAAGCACTTCCAAATACATCACACATCACATTGGATCCTGTACTCGCCTTTGCAACACAAGTAAGCCACGAAAGACATTAGGTTATGAGCCCAATGGCCGAGAAGTACAACATCGATTCAAGTACCAAGCTAAAGGCCGACGGAGCCAACTACCGTGAGTGGTGCGTGAAGACACGCGCCAAGATCAACCAGCAACGTCTCGGGAAGTACTTGAAGCCGTGTACTGCCAGCAATGGCATGTACCTCGAGGGCTTCACCGAGGAGACGATCTCGTTGCGCTGTCATACATCCAACTCACGATCTACTCGGACCACCTGAAATTCGTCCAAGCGGCACCACGACGTACGGCACGTGGGAAGCCCTTCGCGACATCTACGAGAGTGCGTCAGAAGTGAACTAGGTGACCCTCCAGCTTCAAATGAGCAAGTTGGAATGGAGCGAACGTCTGGGACTGGATCGTTTACCGACCAGTTTCAAGAATTCGAAAGAAATCTCACTGCCGCTGGGGATACCACGCCCGACAGCGCGCACACAAACCGCTATCTTTGTTTGCTCCCACCACGCTTTGCCAACAGCGTGATGTACATCACACGGGAGCGCCGCAACGGCACCGCCTACGGTAATTTGCCGTCAATCCCCGCGGAACTGAATCTAGACGACGAACGACAAAAGTTGCACGATCCAAGCCTCACCAGACGCTCTGCACGCACCGACGACGCATTGATGATCACGGGAGAATGCCACTATTGTGGCAAGCGAGGCCACTTTGCTGCCGAGTGTCGTCGAAAGCAAGGGGATGAATCGCGCGGCGTATTTCGTCGCTCAACTCGCGACAACCCTACAGACGCGAAACGTGAAGTCAGAGGCGGCAATCGAGGTCGCGGTAGTCACGCCGGTAGAAATGGGCGAGATAGACATACCGGTCGCAGGGGCCGTGGAGGAAATCACAACGAAGGCAACTACACCAACGTCAACGAAATTGACTACAACGACGACGTACTACCGTCGTGGAAACATGTCAAACCGACGAACCCTCGACTTAGTGGATGTCGAATCTGATGACAGCGACGACTTGCTAGGGTCTGCGAAGATGATGACTGGGACTCGGTGAAACCCCCAATTGGCACTCTACGCAACAACTACAGACGTTGATGAGTGCCACAATGCATCCGTACCTGGCGTCCAAGAGGTGATCGTCGACAGTGGTGCAACAACTCACATGACTGGCGATCTGGGCCTGCTCCATTGTGTCGAATCGTGCAAACGGGGGCTGCGTCGAGCCAACGATCATGCCATACCTGTCGACAAGATGGGCGAGCTGAAAATGGTCTCGAAGGATACGAAAAGAACAGTGACCTTTCGAAATGACATGTTCGTACCATCGCTGCGCAAGACCTTGCTCTCGATTAGCCGCATCACGCAACGGTCGAACAACACTACACTGACCTTCAAGAACGACTACTGCGAAGTCACAGTCAAGGATCACCAGTCCATCGCCGCCAAACGGAACAGTGCGCACCTGTACGCCATACGCGGCGAATTAATTCTGCCCGACGCGAGCGACGAGGCCAACACAGCCGGAATGTTGGACGCGATGCTGTGGCACGCCAGAATGGGCCACATTCAAGAATCGATGGCCAAGGTTATCCACGCCACAACCGACGGTCCGAAGCATCCAGCTAAGGACATCACCTGCGAAGATTGAGTGAGAGGAAAAATGACACTCACCTCGGTGCCCAAGAAAGGTGACCGACTACTGCATCCGCTCGGAACGTGTCTGCACATCGACTTGTGGAGTCCTGCGAAGGTGAAGTCGCCCAACAGGGCCGAATACTTCATCGCGTTCACATAGGACGCGACCAACTACGTCGCCTTACGGTTTCTACGCAACAAAAGCGATGCCGCCGAAGCCATCAAGGATAACATACCTTGGCTGGAGCGACAGACGGGCGTGAAATTGAAGACACTTCGTTCTGAAAATGGAGGAAAGTTAACGTCGACATGGAGAAATACCTGCGTGACCGCGGCGTGCACCGTGAAACCAGCACTGCCAAGCATCTTTGGCAAAATGGCACGGCCGAACGCATGAACCGAACCATGGTCGAAATGGCACGAACCATGATGATTCACTCGAACATGTCGAAATGTTGATGGGCGGAAGCCGTCAACACGGCGGCGTTCCTACGCAATCGCACACCGAACACCAAAACAAAAGATGTGACGCCACACGAACTCATACGCGGAAACAAACATACCGTGGCCAAGCTCAAGGTCTTTGGTTGCGTGTGCTTTTGACGTGTCGAAGCGACTGACAAGACATCGTCATGGGCCAACAAGTGTCACTTCTTGGCTACAACGAGACAAAGAAAGCATACAAATTCTACGACTTGGAGGACAACAAGGTCGTGTTTACCTTGGACTGTCGCTTAAACGAGACCGAATACCTTCTACCGCGGCTCTCCCTACAACATGAACCAGAACAACCCGCGACCTCCACAACCACACACACCACAGTTAAGCAGCCCTTCGAGGATGTCGAGATGGGCAACGTCAACCAACATGAAATAAAGGAGGAGCTGTCGCCGGACTCATCGACGCGATCCTCAACGCCAACTGCAAGTGAGGCACGACCACATGAAGGCCCGCCTCCTCGCTCACACAGCACGATATACACACTGCCCTCCAGAAATGAGATACGACAACGAAGAAAGGCGGAATGGACCTGCTGCTGAAACCAGGGCACAGACGCGTGCGGCGTCGGATGCCCCGATCATTGATGCGCCGACGGCGCAAGCTGACGCCACGGGTCGTAGAAGCTCCAAGTCTCGTGAGCCCGCCATGCGCGATACCGTGAATGAGTCGGTCTCATCGAACCGACGTTGCGCGCGACTAAGCGAGGTCGCCCAACGACGTGAGGCGTTGTCAGCCAAAGCAACCGAAGCCCAGTCAACCGAACGGCCGCCGCTTCACCCCGTGCGAGCCTCCGCGAGACCGTGCAACGCCGACATGAACTTCAAGCACCCGCGAAAACGTCCCGCACGGAAGGCGGCGATCGCGTCCTGGTGACTCGAGAGTTCGATGGCGCGCAGGAGGACACTGCAAACGTCGCCTACGACGTTTGCTTCAATGTGTCAAATATTGATGTCGACGAGGACGTACCGGCAACCTTCTGGGAGGCGATGCGAATGCCGGACTCAAAGGATTGGCTCGAAGCCTGCAAGAAGGAAATCAATAACCTTCAACTCGTGAAATGCTACAAGATCGTGCAAAAGACACCCGATAAACGCACCCTGAAGTCGAAATGGGTCTTCAAGCTCAAAGGCATGCCAGACGGCTCGCAGGCATTCAATGCGCACATCGTGATTATAGGCTGCGCACAGCGTCAAGGTCTCGATTACGACGAAACGTACGCACCTGTGGTTCGCGGCGACTCACTGCGGCTGGTACTTGCCGTTGCGACGTGCGAAGGTCTAAAGTGCCGTCAGGGTGACGCCACAAACGCGTATATCCACGCACGCAGCGAC